GTAATAGTTTCATTAAGAAAGTTATTAATTATTTATTGTGATTACTATTAGGAATTATAATTACTATTAGGCATAGTTATATGAAGGAAGTTAAAATAAGATCAACTACTTAAATAATTTTGTAAGTTGTCCCAGAACCAAGTTTGGGCATAAACTTAAAAAATACGTATTTTGAGACATATTTGAGGCTACAAAAGTTACACTCATAGGTGCTTTTTTCCTTCACAAACAGGGGGTGTTGTAAGCTGCTTGTGCCATTGAAACTGCAAGTTTTAAGAGCTCTCTGGTAAGGCAGGGAATAGTATTTGTTGGAAGGCAGAAACCCTGGATGTGATTTAGTGCCCACCAGTAATTCGTACACATTTTGAAAAACTGTCATGATATATGACAGCTCTCTTGGGCATTTTGCTTTTAAAACAGAATTGTTTTCTGAAGATGCTATGTTTTTTGTCATTGCTTTCCATTTCATTCACTCATTTTTCAGCATTAGAGACCACACATACTGGGCATACTTCTGGTGTCATTCTCACCCACGAAATTCTGACTTAAGTAGAGTTGCAAGGGTGTAAATTAGACTGGAACTTGGCAGGAGAAGGCTTATGATTATATTTGGCAGAGGCAGCAGGCTGCAACTTTATTAACATAATTAACAGCTACAAACACACCCAACAGGCCAAAGTAGTTTAGTGACAGAAGAGAGAAGGTCTTTGTAGGAAAGGATCATTCGCGCTTTCTTTTGGTGTTCTGCTTCTTGTTCCTGAGTCCCTACGAAGGCTTTCAATTGAGCTGTAATTCAAATTCATATGGCTCCTACAAGACACCTTGAACAGACTTTTGCTGATGAGTCTATAGGAACTGTCAGCAATACAGAGATTACTTCAGAAGCATGATGGTTGAATTGAACTTTACTTTCTGATGTTTTTGCTTTTTGAATTAAATTGTTGGACAAGATTAATTGCACGCAATAAGAGATTTAAATGAATGGCTTTATAAAGCATTAAAGTTCTAAGTATGTCACATGGGAAAAAAGCTGTAAGGTTTAAATGAATAAATGTATTTAATGCATAAAATGTCTAGGCTAATTTTTTAATTCCTTTACTAACATCTTTTATTGAAAAACCATACTTTATTCATCCATCTTAGTTATACTGCTGTGGTTGTGGTAATTTAATATTCCTGCTCTTCGCTAATCTTCTGGTTCAACAGAAGTAAACAATAGGTTTCATAAATTAAAAATACGCTCGTCAGAACATGCTTCTAAAGATAAAAAACAAGGCTGTAAACATTTATGACTGAAACAAACTAGATTGTTCAAATACTGCCATGATGTATCATGTATATCAATATGGCACTGATATCAGTTAGAATGCAAACAAGGTTTTAAATGATGTGCCCCTTCATTTCAGCTGGAGAATCCGCTTTACACCATCTGCCTATCAGATGGTTAGGAACCAGGACTGCGTATTAATGCCACATGTTCGATTTTCTTTCCTCTTGTAATGGTTAGATTCATATTGCTAATAGCTGTGCATGAGCACTGTCGATGAAATTTGTGTGACGATGGAGTGATGAGATATTTATAAAGCTGCCTGTCTCGCTGCATAATCAGCAGGA